CTTAGATAACATTGATCTTTTGAGTGTCCAAATTGAAGCAGAACTCAGCTCCAAATTTGCTGCCTTTGAAGATAAAATGAATAATCATTTTTCCATGTTTGAATCCTCCCTGAACAAAAAGCTGACTCAACTAGAAAAATTTGTGGCAGCACCGACAAAATCCAACAAGAGGAAATGTTCATCATAGCCACCCAGATGCAAGGGTCAATTTATTTTGACATTAGTTTGTAATGTTCATCATAATTTTGCTATTTTGTACTACTACAATGTCTGATTTTTGTGTAATGCTTATTTGTAGGTTTGAACTCTATGTTATGCTTTGTGCTAACTTGTAAGTTTCTTTTTGCTAATGACAAAAAAGGGGAGAGGAACTTAAATGAAAATTATCTTTATTATTTGTTTGTGTTTTGAAACTTGGAAGCATATTTTGTGGGGAAGCTTACACTTATTATCTTTATTATTTTAAGGCATGGTTTTGTCATCATAAAAAAGGGGACGATTGTTAGGTTTTCTTTGTATTTTGATGATGATTTAAAACCATGATTTAAAGAGTTTAATCTATTTTTATGCTAAGTATGCAGGAAAGCTAATTCAAGGATTCTAATATTTTCCCACAATTTGAATTAAATCCTGTCCTTCTTGTCCAAAGTTTTAGGTTCGAATCAATTCAAACCAATCCCATAGTTTTTTTTCCAAAAACAGTTCGAACCAATATTTTTGGCTTCGAAGCAAAAATTCTGGAAAGTAAACCTTTGACAGTTCAATTATCTATTTTGTCTTAATGGGCCTTAGAGGGATCCCAATGACTAAGTCACTTTCCAAGACAAGTTAGAGTCTATTATAGGAAGTTGAAAAAGGGTGGAATCTGATTGGAGTAATTGTGAGGTGGCTTTGAAGGATAAAACAGGGTTTAATTGCAAGATCTCCCAACCAACCATTAAAAAGCATCAAAAATTAGATCTGAAGAGTTCTCCCAACAGACTTCTTTAGAGACAGAAGAAAAACAGAGATTGAACAATAGAAACTGTTCTGAATCTTCTTCTTCTTCTTGTGAGCTTTTTGGGTTAATTGTTTTTGCTTGCAAGGGTATTGTATACTTCTTGGATTGGGATAATCCTTAAAGGGGTTCAGTGAGTTATTGAGAGTCACTTGTGAGGGTTTAATCTTGCACCCGCAAACAAGAGTTTGTTCCAGTTTAATCTTGCACCCGTAAGCAAGAGAATTTTAGTGGATTGAACTCTTGAGCAAGAAGGCTAGGGGAGTAGACGTACTCTAGATTGGAGGAACTACTATAAATCACGGCTTGATAATTTCTTCCTTTTCTTTTTATTTTTCTGCATTTTATTTGCAAGATTGCAATTATTTTTTGTTTATTTTGCCCAACAGTTTATAAATTGGAAATTTGATTCAAGTTTTAAAGAGAAAGAAACAAGTTTTGAAGTAAATTGATAAGACCCAATTCAACCCCCCCTTCTTGGGTAGCTAGCTGGGATTTCAAGTCCTTTTGTGTTTCTTTTTCTTTTTAATCTACATATTCTTTTTCCTATCTTTTCTTCTTCTTCATCTTCTTCTTCCCTTATTTCATCATCTCCACTGACTATCAGCATATTCTGTCTTGGTCTCTTCTTTCTTTTTTTTTTTTTTTTGGGAAATTTTAGCATTTGAAATGTAGAACTTAGTTCTACATGTATGAATTCATAATTAATCCACATGTATGAATTAGTTTAATTCTCATGAATTGATTTAATTTATTTCTATTTTAATTTAACCCAATAATAGAAGTTATGCTAATTTTGTTTGACTATTTTCTTTCACTTTAAATTGAAAAGCTTAATGGAATTTGAATCATCTAAGTCAAGCAACAAGAAGGATCTTAGATAGAAGTATGACCATGCCAAGGATCCTAAGAAGAATTATTCCTTGTAATTTTTGTGGCTTTACTTCTTCTAGTGGCATTCACAGAGCAACATCAAATAGGGCCATTTTCTAATGTGAAACAGTGTGTGAATGTGCCATTAGAAGTAAAACAAGAGTTGTGGGCTATTTGTCATGAGAAACAAGAATTAAATGTGAGAAGTTCACAATATGAACCGGATTTCTTTGGCATTGGTGATAATACTCATGATGTCAAAGTTGAACAAAATAGGAATTCAAGGAGTAAAAGGGCATTAGTTGCAATACTAGGTTTTTCTAAAGTAAAGAGAATCCAATGATCTTTACTTGCAGAAACTAGAAGTTGTTGAAATGAAGAAAAAAAACAAGGCAACCTAGTACAAAAAATTTCTTTTGACCCTAAATCAAGAGAAAAAACAATTTAGTATATTGCAAGGTTTTTTTTATCAAGCAAGCATTCCATTTAATGCAACTCAGTTGGATAGCTTCAAGGTTATGGTGGAAGCTATTGGCCAATATGGTCCATGCTTAAAGCCTCCAAGCTATCATGAGATCAAAGTTCCACTACTCAAGAAGGAAATGCAGCTTACAAAGAATCTTGTGAAAAACCATCAAGATAATTGGGTTAAGACAAGTGGCTCTATTATGTTTAGATGTATGGACAGATAAGAGACATAGAAGTATTATCAACTTTTTGGTAAATTGTACTATTGGGACAACATTTATGGAATCTATTGATGCTTCTTCTTATACAAAGACAAGGGATAAGTTATGTGAGCTTCTTGGGCAAAACCCCATAGAATGCCCTCCAACTTTTCGAGTATGTGGGACTTTACCTCTCACATTACAATATATGATTTTGTACCCTCTTGATATTCGAGTTTATGATTTTATACACTCTTAGTGTTCGAGTGTGTGGAACATTACCCCTAACCTTACAACTTTAGAAGGGTATACAATCAATAAACTCGAATACTAAAAGAGTATAAAATCATAAAACTCAAATATTAAGAGGTGTAAAATTACATATTGTAAGATGAGGGGTAAAGTGCAACACACTCGAAAAATTGAAGGGCAATCTGTAGGGTTTTGCTGAGCTTCTTGATGCTTTTGTGGAGAAAATTGGAGAGGAAAATGTTGTCCAAGTGATAACGGATAATAGTAGCAACTACATGTTGGCTGATAAACCCCTATAAGCCAAAAGAAAGCACTTATATTGTACAACATGTGTAGCACATTGTGTAGACCTTATCCTGGAAGATATCAGGAAATTGCCTAATGTTAAAAGAACATTAGAGAGAGCTATCTTTCTGGTAGGCTTCATTTATAATCATGGTGCTGCCTTGAGTATTACAAAGACATTTACTTTAGAGAAAGAGTTAGGTAATTATTTTCAAATTATTAATTTGAGCTACATTTATAAGCAATGGAGAGGGCCAAGGAAACCATAGCCAAGTCTTTTGAAGGAAAAGAATAAAAGTATTCCCATGTGCTTTCTATCATAGATAATAGATGGGAAAATCAACTCCATCATCTTTTACATGTTGCTGGATATTATTTGAACCTTGAATTCTACTACAAGAATCAAGAAAAATTTGAATCAGATAAAGAGATTATCAAGGGCTTATATGACTGCATTGAAAAATTGATTCCATCTATTGAGTATCAAGACAAAATCTTTAGTCAATTACACAAGCATAAGGAAGCTGAAGGCATGTTCGGTTGTCCATCAGCAATAAGAAATAGGAAAAAAAATAGCACTTGGTAAGTGCTTAACAGCTTTAGTTTAATGTATTTTTTGTTTCTATTATTATTAACTATTAAACTTTATTTGATTGAGCATTTAGCAAGTTAGCAACTACTTAATTTATTTCCTTGCATGTGTAGCTGAGTGGTGGAGTTTGTATGGATCCAAAGCTCTTGAATTAAAGCAATTGGCTATTAAAATCTTGAGCTTAACTTATAGTGCTACTGGTTGTGAGAGAAATTGCAGTGTTTTTGAACAAGTTTTGTGACAAGGAACAAGAAGAAGCTATTCAATAGTCATTTAGATTATTTAGAATTCTTAAGTAATTATTTTTATTCAAGTGTAGTTATCAGCAGTTTTCCTACTTTTATTAGGATTAGGTCTTTGATCAAAAGTCTTAAGTGCTAGTTAAATTAGAAATTTTAAATTTAAAGTTATAGACTAATTAGAATAGGAGTTCTAGTAGGAGTATTAGTAGTTTCTATATAAATATGCATGTAGTTCCTTTCATTATACAGTTAATAATATTCAGAATTTTCCACCAAGTTTTGTTCTTGATTGTGTGATGCAATCTTAGTTGTATGATGTAACTAGCCTTAGGTGTGATGCTTAAGGATTTTATCCTCTTTAGGTGTGATGCCTAAAGAAACTAGTTGTGACTCCTTGTCTTTTCTATCATTCTCGTTGTTTATTTTCTATTTCTCCTCTTTTCTATCCTAAACAGACTCTATTTTACTGTTCACGCATACTATTCAGAGCATATATTTGCCCAAACAGCCTCTAAATCCCCAAGCCCACCATAGCCCCTAACCTGTCCCACATCAATTGGTATCAAAACAAAAGATCCTAAAAAAAAAAAAAAAATCCTTAAGTTTGTTGTTGAATTTTTCTTCCATTATGGTGACAAATAGTGATTTGAAGTCTAGAGTTACAGAAAGAAAATGGAAAGAAATTAAATCTACCTTTAAGCAGCGGGTTGAAAAATTGATTGGCAAGGAGATTCATGATAACAACTTGCTAGAAGAAGCGGATGGCAACATAAAAGAAGATTTAGTGTCAGTAGAGAATAGCAAAGAAGTTAAAGAGAAGCTGGATGATAAAGTAGAAATTCAAAAAGTGGAAACCCAAGCATGTCTTGAAAAGAGCTTTAATGAGGTTGAATTTTCTTCTACTTTTCATGGACTTCAAGGTGTTGATTTTGTCTTTTCAACCATATGTTAAGGACTAGAAATAAGAAAGCTGATGTGGCAGGTGGTGCTTAGGTGGACGGTTGTTGATGATGTATGTAGATGATGATGCATGAGATAGGATGTATGTACAAAGAGCAGCTATAAAGCTCATTCTTGTAAAAGAATTGGTTATCGAAAGTGAATACAGTTTTCCTATCTTCAGTTTCTCTCCTCTTCTCATCCCTTCTAAGACTGTTTCTCATCTCACCTCCCTTCTTGATTCTTTTCTCATCTCTATCTCTTGATTCTTTGTGGATTGTTGACTGGGTTATATCATTTGGTATCAGAGCATCGATTCTCTGACCTGTGGCTATAGCAGGTAACACCAGATCTCAAGAATAAGCGAAATTCGAAGCTGAGATCAGGGGATTGATCTCAAACACCTAGAGGGATCTTCTTGAATTGCAGCAACGTACTAAGGAGCAATTCAAGAAGAATGACGAGCAATTGGTGGCCATACGGAAGGAAAGCAAAGAGCAATTTGAGTCTCTATCCAAGCTGATGTTGCAATTTATGGGTCGAGCAGGGGTTTCCAATGGTGCGATAATGGCACTCTGATGGCACCAGCAATGGGGATAAACAATGGAATCCTAAGAGGAAGCGACGATATCCCCATGGTAAGAAATCTTGACCCCAATCTTGGTTGCAGTCAGGGTAATAACCCTCTTGAATCTATGATTCGATTTGGGAAGGTTGATTTCCCTGTTTTTGATGGCACTGATAGTGTGAAAGGTTGGCTTTTCCAAAGTGAACAATTCTTTGAAATTAATGAGATTGGTGAAGGATTTAAGTCTCAAATTGCTGGCATGTATATGAAGGGGAAGGCTTTGCAATGGTTGCAAGCCTACATGAAAGGGAAAATCAAGTGGTCTTCTTGGGAGGAATTTTGCACGGCTGTTTGTGTTAGATTTGGGGTAGCCTTTAAGATGAAACCTATGGCAAAATGGAGGAATATAGTACAGATTGGTACAGTCTTAGAGTATCAACAGGAATTTGAGAAAGTAAGGGCTAGGGTCTCTTGCTCTGAGGAATTTGCCGTTGAGATGTTTATTGGGGGTTTGAAGGAGGAAATCAGGCATGCGGTGAATTGTTCAGATCCTAAGACCTTAATTGAAGCCTACTGCATTGCCCAATTGCATGAGGCCAATTATGAAGCTAATTTCCATTCTATGATGAAGCAATTTGAACCACTGGTTGGTCTCAATCTATGAGTATAGCACCTGCTCCTTCAAATACAGCTTCTGTTTACCCTGTAATCCCACCTTTTACTCAAAGGAATCCCACCTTTTACTCAAAGGAACAGTGCCCTCTTATCATCTGTCACCCCACAACCTCCTAGGAATAAAAATATCAGGACATTATCTGAAAAGGAACTGGAAGAAAAGAAAGCCAAAGGCTTATGCTTCTGGTGTGATGAGAAGTTTGTGCCAGGTCATAGGTGCCATCAGAAGAAGCTATTTAATATTGAGGTAGCGTCCTTTGAGGAGGAAGATGTGGATACAACAGAGAGAAGGGGTAGTTTAACTGGTGAAATGGACAGGTTGATATTCAGCAACGTTTTTCCTTCTTTCCACCCTTGAGGACAAGGGCTGTTTAGGGGAGGGGATTGTTAGACAACTAGAAATAAGAAAGCTGATGTGGCAGGGGGTGTGCTTAGGTGGACAGTTGTTGATGATGTATGTAGATGATGATGCATGAGATAGGATGTATGTACAAAGAGCAGCTATAAAGCTCATTCATCTAACAAAATTGGTTATTGAAAGTGAATACAGTTTTCCTATCTTCAATTTCTCTTCTCTTCTCATCCCTTCTAAGACTCTGTTTCTCATCTCACCTCCCTTCTCGATTCTTTTCTTATCTCCATCTCTTGATTTTTTGTGGATTGTTGACTGGGTTATATTACCATAATTGACACAAAACAAATCTTTGCATTATCAAGTTTGCTAGGATTAAAACAATTCTTAAAACCAAGTGAAGTTCTACCATCACAAATGCATCTTGTGATCTTGAGATTTTTGCTACTTCAGCACTTCAAAACTTGAGGTCGAGTTTTCTCCAACAAGGGGAGAATGATGAGGAACAAGAAGAAGCTATTCAATAGTTATTTAGATTATTTAGAATTCTTAAGTAATTATTTTTATTCAAGTGTAGTTATCATCAGTTTTCCTACTTTTATTAGGATTAGGTCGTTGATCAAGAGTCTTAAGTGCTAGTTAAATTAGAAATTTTAAATTTCAAGTTATAGACTAATTAGAATAGGAGTTCTAGTAAGAATCTTAGTAGTTTTTATATAAATATGCATGCAGTTTATTTCATTATACAATTAATAATATTCAGAAATTTCCAGCAAGTTTTGCTCTTGATTGTGTGATGCAATCTTGGTTGTGTGATGCAATTAGCCTTAGGTGTGACGCTTAAGGGTTTTATCCTCTTTAGGTGTGATGCCTAAAGCTAAAGAAACTAGGTGACTCCTAGTCTTTTCTATCCTTTTCGTTGTTTATTTTCTATTTCTCCTCTTTTCTATCCTAAACAGACCCTATTTTACCATTCACGCATACTATTTCACAGTATACATTTGCACAGCCTCTAAATCCCCAAGCCCACCATACCCCCTAACCTGTCCCGCATCATTTTGGTAATTTGGTTACAATCTTTTATTCATTTTTTTTTTCCACTTAATTTAATCTAACTATTTTAAATTCTAATTTGTAGCTTCATAGCAAGAAGAGAAACAGGCTTAAGCATAAAAAATTGCAAGATTTTGTTTTTGTCAAGTATAACCAACAACTTAAAGCTCGTTATGATAGCCAAGACGTGATTAATGCCATTTCTCTTAATTGTATTGATAAGTGTAATGAATGGTTGATTGGAGAAATGGGTGGTGGTGATGCTGAAAATGAACGATTTTTTGATGAAATGGAAGAATTTACATGGGGGGATGTTGCTGTAGCTTCTGGGGTTGGAGAGCCTAGAATTTACACTAGGCGAAACACTGCTTAAAGAACTAGGAGGAAAGAGGCTTCAAGCTCTAAGGCATTAACATTAGCTAGATCTAGATATGATCTTGAAGAGAAGGAAGAAATGGTGGATGGAGAGGATACCGAAGAGGAAGAGGTAGAGGACTACAACTCTAGTGATGGAGATGAGAGTAGTGATGATGCTCGAATAGATGCTAATGAGGATAATGATATAAATTCTGATTGAAGTTCTTTTTAGAATCTTAGGTTGTTAAATGAAATGGAAATTGAAAACATTGCATTGGTGTTTAAGATTTAATGTTGAAGACTTTCTTTGAACTCTTTTAAATTGTATGATTATGAACTTGAGTACTATATTTTATTTTTCAACTTTTATGTTTTAGTTAGTGCTACATTGCTAGTGTTGAATTATTAAGCAAGACATTAAAGTTTGGTTTAATTGATTAACACTTTGAAATAACCCCTCTTTTTATTGATTAATCAGGATGTTGTAGTGTAAAAGACTTGAAGAGTTGAAGATCTTGTTGTAAGTATACTTGCAATTTTACCAATATATAATCACTTTTATTTCTTTATAATGTTTAATGTACATTTTCAAGTTTACATCAATGGAAGCAATTTCTAATTTGCTTTTCATGCATCGTAATTTCTAATTTGTTGTTTTTGCTCACTTCAAAAAAGCAATTGCTTCGCTTCTCACTTCATCGCTTCAGCATTTTTTAGGCTATCGCTTTGCCTCACTTTTTGCATTTAACAACACTAAGCTAGAGAAATAAATCAAGGGATTGGCGCAAAGTAGTCAAAGAAGCTAGCTACTGGCTATTCAGTAAAACTAAGTGGAACTGTGCAACCAAAACCCTGAAATAAAAAATTCTGAGCCTACAATCATGCAAATGGACAAAAATAAAACCTACAAATAAACCAATTGAGCAACCATGAAAACATTGACGACAATAGCAAACATATGGAACCACTAATGTGACTTTCATTATATTACTTGAGGAGGTTGGAAAGTCATATGCAGAGCCAAAAAAGAAAATAGGTACCTCTTCATCACCATCTAAATATTCCTCATCAGCATCCTAGATCAAGGAAATCACCAGTCACCATTAGTAATGGAAGAAGATAAGATTTAGAACTGCAAATATCCTCTAGAAACTTTTAGGATGAGGAACACTAAGAAAAAGAATAGGATTACACGAGAGATCCTCCTTGATAATCTTTGCTACCTATAATTCAAAAGCTTAGACCAGCTTTATTACCAAGGGGAAAATTGTCCAACACAATTGACATAAAATCAAAGTACAGTACCCTATATATGTAAAATTTACATCATCAGTCAGTTCATCCAAGTCTTCTTTCGGTTAATCCTCACTAAACCAGCCAAAGAAAACTGCATACACAATTCAAATGCTAAGAATCAATTACAAGGTATTACCATTAATCCCTGTAAGATTTGCAAAACAATAAATTTTTTGCAGTGTTGAATAAAAGATCAGGAATCGAAGGAAATGACAACAAGAACAAATGAATACCAATCAAGAAATAATAATAATTAAAAAAGACAACAAGAATGAATGTAAATTTGCTGATTTTAATAATGCCAAGTAATAGCTGCAAAATCAAACAAAGTTGTCAGCATGTATATGGCTTATGTATGTAAAGCAGAACTAAATAGCATGTGTGAACATTAGAGCATTTAGATACAGAATCTGTCACAGAATAAAGTATTTCATGCATAGGCAAGGCTTCAATTGGAAATAAATTCACAATTCCACTTTCGGAAAGAAAATGAAACTTTTTATGGTTAGGAATAATGAAACAAAGAAGATAAACAAGAATGAAATTACGTCGTAAAAAGACTTGGCTGCAGAACAATTCAAAAAATATAAAAGTGTCAATTGAAGTTTTAGAAGAGATTGATTTCAAGTTGTTATGGAAGCCAAAAGACTCGATTCTAGGAAAGAATAGACACATTGAGACCAACCTTTCTCCAGACAATTGTTGCCTGTTTCCTTAATTTCTTGTCACAATTAACTCCATTTTGCAAGCCCTTCCTATGTAGGAAAAGGATTTTAATATAACATATAAGGAAACTAGACAACAAAGAATGACAAGTTACAAGGGGAAAAAGCTCCCACCATGCCCTCTTTCCACTTTATCTGTGTAGTAGTAATCTTTGTTCCTTCTTCATCACTGAAGGTAAAGGTCTTTGTAAGCATTGTATCTTGAAAATAAGGACTAGGGCTGAAGTTCTAAAGGCAAAAATGTATATGTTGAAAAACCAGTTATTAAATTGGTTGATCAAAGCAAATCATAAACTAGCTTGAGCGAAAGAAAAAAAAATTAAGAAATCCAATCATTGACAAAACAGGCAAGAGTAGCAACATAATTGAACTTACAAATGTAATAGAGTATCCATAGTTGAGATCTGTAAAATCCTCCATTTCAAGAGAAGTTATATACTAGAATATCTACTTCAGGGGAGAAAAAAAGAACAAAGACATCAATTACCAAAAATTAGCAAAACAACTATAACCACTAAAATCAAACTACAATCTATCAGAAAAGATGTCCAGAAACATTGTTCAGTTCATGACTTCATGTAGAAGCAGCATCAAACCTTTTGATCCTCTTCAGGAAAAAGCTCACCAAGAGTAGGATGACTCAGGAATTGCAAAGAGAAGAAAGAAACAAAGTTTTAAAAAATCCATAACAGCTAAAAACCCTATAGTCATGCAGAGCAGCTAAACTGACAAGGATAGAATCTTTTACAGTAGTTAACCAGAAATTAGGAATATTTTTAAGTAGTTCATTCCGCTGATCACACTGGTTTGCATAACTCATTATACTTCTGTTCCACTTCCAAGATTTTCTCACTAGCCTCTTCATTGATAGTCGAGCAAAAAAATAAAAAATAAAGAAACATATAAATAATTCAGTAATAAAACCTTATAGAATCATGTTTCCAAATTTTTATTATTTGAATAATATGCATGCTAAAAAGCATCCATTAAACTTCTCAGGCTACAATAGCAATATATAGAAAAGTCTTTAGACAGCCAAAAAAAAAAAGCCTTTATAACAGTTGGGAGTGGATTAGGCACAAAGAAGAGAAATTTTTTATACATGCCTTTGACAAAACCCTGACATATCCAACCACATCAATCCCATTTACAGGCCCAAACCATGCTTCGCAGCAATCATATAGCTCTAGATGATCAAGCAGCTACTTCAAGCGAAGCAAACAATTCTCTATAGCAACTAAGCACAACCATAAGCGTCCATAAAAGATAATGATTGTTGTGTATATTAGTTAAAGAGGCAGGAATTCCACAATTGCAATCTAGTCTTTAATTTATTTCAGTGAAATACTATTGAAAATACAAAATTGAATTTTTATCCACCATATACAATAGTAAAAAATATCATAATTAGAAACAGAAATAAAAATCCACATCACTGCTTCAATAAGTTAACAAAAGAAAACATTAAGAAAACCTAGAATTTCCCTAACCCATTTTCTAGAAATTGCTAACAAATAAAATAACAGCTAATGCATAGAAATATTTCTATGGGCCTGACCTCTTCAAGCTTGTCTTAGAGTTCCCGCACCTTCTCGATGGTAAGAACAAGCTCTCCATCAATTTGCTCCGAATTCTCCTCCCGTTCTTTTTCTACTAGTTTCATCTTCTTTCCCTTGTCCGCCACCATCTTTCTTTCTCTTCCTCTCCGCGAAACAAAAGAACTAACCCTAGAAGTTTGCTTCCCCTAGCTCTCTTTCCTTGGAGTTCTCTCTAAAACCCTAGTCCTTCTCCCTCGGTGCGCGAAATGAGCGGAACAAATAAAAAAGGTCTTGGGTTTTGGGAGTTTATATACCTGCTACGTCCGAAGACGTGGAAGTGAGGTGGAAAAGATCGAATGGGATGATGACAGTTGGGCAACTAAGAGAACTTGCGAGAAAATGTGCGAATTACAATGAAAATTTCTCTTTTTTTATTTAAAAATATTAATTTTTTATGAATCTGACCCTTCGAATCAAGTGGTTTTAGTCACGCTTGTAACGTAAATTAATTTTTTATTTAAAAATATTAATTTTAATGATCATTATTTAATTAATTTTTATATAAAAAAATTAAATTTTATATTTTTAAATAAAAAATTAATAACGATTACCATTTAATTAATTTTTATATAAAAAATATATAATTAATATTTTTAAATAAAAAATATAAAGTTAATATTTTTATTTATTGTAGTTACTACAAAATTAATTATTTATGCGAATATGAACTTTTTGGGCAAGGAAAGAATGGCTAGATACGCACTATGGGATTAAAATCAACTTTTAGTCCCTCACCTTACAAATTTAGTGATTTTAGCCCTTAATCTTATAATGACACTTTAAGTCTTTTACCTTACAAAATTGGTAAGTTTTAACCCATTACCTTATAAAATTAGTAGGTTTTAGCCCTTCATATTATATTAGGACACTTTTAGCTCCTTATCTTATGAATTGAAGAAAATAATCCTTATTTAACATTAAGTTATAATGTTCTATTAGTTCTGTTAGTTGACTGTCAATTCTGTTAGCTAATTGTTAGTTCTGTTAGTTAACTATTATCATCCGTTAGCATTCCGTTAATGAAACTAATAAATAAAATTGAATTTAAATTTTATATTTTTTATAATGGAATGCTAGCAGATGTTAACCGTCAATTAATAAAACTCATAGAACGTTATAACCTGATGTTAGATGAGGGCTATTTTCTTTAATTCGAATCGATGAGGGGCTAAAAATATTATAATATAAGGTAAGAGGTTAAAACCTACCAACTTTGTAAGGTGATGGGCTAAAACTTACCAACTTTGTAAGATAAAAGGCTAAAACTGTCATGTTATAATGTAAGGGGCTAAAACCTACCAATTTTATAAGGTGAGGGGTTAAATATTGGTTTTGCCAGCACTAGGGCGGGTAACCAATTGCGTGCCCAAAAGGAAAATAGATTCAGGTCGATGAAATTAGATTTCAATGAAAATTACACAAGGTCAGAACTAATTGGCATAGTTCGGGTTAGAACAAATTTAGGCTCAAAAGAGTTGAAAAATATATATTAAAAAAATGAAAAAACATCTAAAACCCTATAATCTATCATAAATCAATTCATCCGGGATGTCTCACCTTGTTCATCTTCCCACCTCCCCACTTTCCATGACATTTACACACCAAATAATGATGTAACTTTCACTACCTCCATGCAATTATAATGGTGATTAACACTCCATAATACTATACATTTAAATGGTGATAATGGAATTTCTTATAACCCCTCCATTAGTAGGGAATTAATCATTATAATCTTCCATTTAGTGAGTGTTAATTCCTTATAACTCCTATCACTTATTAGCCCTTATATATAAGACTTGTACTCTTACAAATGTAAGGAAATATATAGAAATATATGAAGATGTATAGAGATGAAAGGAATAAAAATATAATATATCTTTCCATTGCCTCACTTTGTCTCCCTATTTATTCTTCTTCTAAATGATTCTTTCTCTATTTTACAGCACGTTATCAGCACAACTTGCCTCTATATGAATTACTATGCATGAATCATATTTGAGATGATGAACCAATTGAGGTAAAGATATAAGTTGAAGTAAAGTTTTGAAGTAAGATTTTGAAACAATCTAATCTTTCAATTTCTTGATTTCTAATTTGAATATTTTATGGTACTATAACGATTTTCCTATTATATGGACTTGTCAAAATTTTGAGTTCATTGGCCTTGATGAATTGGGCTCCAACTATGTCATGAACTCTTGATGTGAAAAGTCATTTTCCTCCAATGAATCTTGAAGATTCAATTGTAGAAAGAAATAAAACATATCTTGAAGGAACAAAATATTCTTGAAGGAACAAAATATTCTTGAAGGATTGCGATGAAATAATATTTCTTTATTATGAAGTCCAAAAAGGACTAAGAGATGAATATTTGATGATGAATGATTCATTGGAATCATGGAATTGTTTGGAAGAAAGATGATCATCAAAAGAAAATTTCAATTCTTTCAAAAAACTAGTTATGAATGGATCCATTTATTATTCGAGTACAAATCCACAAATATTTTGAATTTTCTTGTGTGGAGAAAAATTATTATTGATGAAGACATGCTAAAGAAGATATACTCTTCTTTTCATGCCTTGAATATACTCTTAAAGTAGCAATCTCAAGAGGGTAATTTTAACATGTATATTCAAAGTAAATACATATTTTTTTGTTGTCAACAAAATTATGAATTTATGAAAAATCATCAATCACAACCATTGGTTTGATTCCATTCCTGAAAGAGAATGTGACATCATATTATGATTATGGTTATGAATATGGTTGTGAAATGAGACTCTGCAAAATAAGTTGGCAAAGAATTTGAGAATTCTTAGATATGACGTGAATGAATATTGATCACATATCTTTTGTATATCCAAACAATTTATGTGCTTGCTAGATTTGTTCTAAGCTTTACCTAATGAAAAGGGAAAAAGTGCAAAAATATATTTGTGGAAAACAATATGGATATGCATTTGTGATAATTGTGATATACAATTTTATCCCATATCCAATTTGAGAATATTGAGGAAAAGTATCTCAAATATTTGAGAAATTAAATATATATATTCCAATGTGAAGATTGTGAATCAAAAGGAGAATTCTTTGAGATTAAGTCTTCTCAATAAGAATTCATTTCCAATGAGAAAATGAGATGCAAGAATGCATCTATGAATGGATATGAATTTTATAACAACATTTCTCATATGGGAAATTTAAATTCCAAACTTTGAGATTCATATTAATCTCATCTAACATCTCTCAATATGAAGGTTAAAAATTGGTGGAGATATACTTTGAAAAAAAGCATCCTCATTATAGTGATGAAATCAAGATGAAAAGTTGAAATTGTGTAAAGCATCACTATCACACAATAAAGGTATAATGGCACTTCTGTGATAAGTAAAATATGGCATACATGCACTTCTATTATGCAAAATGTATAATAGTGAAATAAAACTTGACAAATTGTGTTATTTTTTTATGTGCAAAAGGCTATACCATGATGAAATATCCATAAAAAAAAAAAAAAATTGTTCCCAATTACACTTAGCCTAAAGCCAATGTGTATTTTATATTGCAAGCTTGATTGAAAAATCCAAAGAGCTTGTACATTGTTTGCCCTTGAAAAGCTTGAATTTTGTAACTTGGAGAAGCAAAATTTTTAAATATGTGATTAGTTGTATCATAGTAGATCATATTGGAATTTACTAAACTTTAAGGGTACAAATATATAATGGTTATCATATTGAAACCATGAATGAGAAAAGTACAACATGCTCCTTATGTCACATCTCGTATGTAGCCAAAAGGCACATATTTGAAAAGCTTTCTCTTCTAAATTATATATATAAATCTAATAAAGATCAAACATTGGGGCTAACTAAAAATTTAATCATAGAATGATTTGAGCCTAAGTAACTTGGCCATCAAGTATTTTTTCATGTGTTGCATTCCTCTAAGAACATGATTTCGAAGCTTTTTACAAATACAATTGAAATATAATCTCCTTCATTATTATATTGGATTTCAAGGAGACATATAAGCCTATGCTCAATTATTTGAAATATATTTTGATATATATTTTGATATATTATGGCATTATTATATGCTTGAATATGAAGATGACAAAATAGTCCCTTAAGTAGTATGAAATATTGCATTGAGAGCATTTATGGCTTAATAATCCCAAAGAAGGCTGGGAGTTTGTTGACTCAATGCACTGGAGGGGGGTGAATTGGAGTTGGAGTATTTTCATCTCTTTGCAACCACCAAACAAAAATTAAAGAGAGAGTGGAGAAGAAGAGCTTGCACAATGATTTTATAGAGGTTCAGTCCAACCACTTGAAACCTAGTCCTTTACCTTGGCTTCACTCACCATGGATTTCCTCCACACTCTCCACTAACAAAAACAATGGTGGCTTAAAGGAGCCACTCAATCCTTTACATAAAGAAAGGTGTTTCTCTCAAATCTCACCCCTTTACACTTAAACCCCAAAGATCCTCTCTACAGATCACTCTTGAAGGAATCAACACACCCCTAAGATCACTCACTAATAGCACAAGAAGAGGATTACAAACAAAGATCTCTCAAAGATCAAAATCTCTAGTTAAAGCTCAAGTAGGTAGGTAAAGATATTCAATGCAATGTTTTCTAAACTTCTTCAGATCTGTTACCAACCATATTTATAGCCCCTTGCTCAAAAATAGCCGTTTCTAGCCATTGGGGGTCATTAAATGCCTTGCGGGACGCAAAGCTCAAGTTGCAGGATTGTCAGGAAAGCCGGCTCAGCTTCCTAGAGCCGGCTCTATACAGCCGACTCACCATTTCTGCAGCCAGCTTTGCGGGATTCCTGCATATTCTGTTTTCTTCCATAGCTGGCTGCAATGCTTAGAGCCAGCTTTAGGATTCTAACTTTAAATATATTAAATAATCTTCAAATAACTCAACCGTTGTGCATTAAATGCACCCTCATAGCCGACTACAAAGTGGGAGCCGGCTCTATTTCCATTTTCCGCGCGTGCCAAAACAGCAGTTGAATTTCTAGACTGTAAAGTCGGCTCAACAAAATCTGCAGCCGGCTCTCTGCATTTTTGCTTCCCAAAGCCGGCTGCAATTTTCTTAAGCTGGCTCTCTGCATATTTTACCCTTTAAGCCCTTTTTAATGCAATCTCATTTTACTTATTTTGCAGTATATTGGCAATTTAACTACACACTTAAATAAATC